GATTATGAAAATCAAACCAAACATAACTTTATAACTAAGAAAGTTCCAACATTATTCATTAAAAAAAATGTCATTACATTTCAAACAGTATACAAGTTAATCAATACAAAATAAGTTGTATGATGACTTTGCCCTTGAAATAGACCGTTTGTAAAGGAAACATCATTGATTGTCTTTGTTTTGAACAAAATTCAAAATTCAGGGTCAAATGTAACACAATTGAAAAGTTAAAAACCAAAGTAACACAAACCTCAAACTACAAGGACTGTTAGTGTAATTTGCTCTATAAATAATAAAGTTGTCCCTCTCTTTAACAACTTGAGCTTTTAGATGAGTTGGTGGTCAATCATTCAATATGGCATCAGAGCAGGCAAAAGATCTTGTGTTCGATTCTCACCACCTACCCGATAATTAAAAAATGTTTGCATGTGTTTGGCCCGTTGCGAAGAAAGTCTAGCCACACGTGAGGAGGTGTGTTGAGAATATAAAATAAATGATAATGTTGTCCCTCTCTCTATCAGCTTGAGCTTTTAGATGAGTAGGTTGTCAACAGTTCAATAATGAGGCAGTCCCACTTCCTTAAGCTCCAAAAACAGATGGAGTGGTTCTTTGACACAGGGTCTCAAAGTAGGATCCAAATCTAAAACCACAGGCCATTTGGATGGAGGAATGCTTTGGACTTTGAAACCTTCTGTCTTTTCTCTTGGTTTACTCATCCTTAGAAACTTTTTTCTGCTTGAGGAATAGTACTTGATCAAAATAAAAGTCAAGTAAAGAAGAAGCATTGAAAACAAACGGCTTTACCTTGTTCACAAAAGGGGATGAGATCTCTAGAGTTGGTTCAGCACCAATTGGTGGGGTCGTTGCAAAATTTGATGAAGCAGCTAGGGAGATAGAGCCTTAGCTTAAACAATTTAATGGGTAATGGTAGACGGTAATATTAGAAGCTTGTAAGATTGTAAGTGTTATCATATGTCATGATAGTGACAATGTACAGGAGTTTGTGAAAAAATTGGTGGTGGTGGTGGTTGCATGTTGGAGTTGATAATGGAAACATTGTGTTGGAATTGCGGTAGTGGTCATGGTGGCTATTTCATGTTGCTCAAAGTGATCACAAAGCCATTTCAGTGGCAGCTTCTAATTGTATGCAGTTGACAGTGCTGGTAGTTCTGACATGTTGTGTGGTGATTGCTAGGGGTGCTACTCGAGTGGGTTCGGTGGGGTTGAGTTTTGCCCAGGTCCAGCTCGAGTCATGCTGAGAGTTGCAACATCAACTTGTCTGCACAAGTCTGACCTGAGCTTAGTAAATTGAATTCAAGCAACACCTGAATTGCCTGAATTACCCATTTGAGATTTAATTTATTTTTTTATTTTTATTTTTATTTTTTTTTCATGTGCATCTAGGCTAATTATTTTGTTAAAGTTAGACGCTATTAACAAAATTTTTTTTTTTTTTTGGACAGAAACATTAATAATATCGAAACAAATAATTTATATGATGAGAGATATAGAGGAGAGAAAGATGAGAATCAAGGAACCACTTCATTGTTGCGGTGGTCTTTGTTATTTTGAGTAAGAAAAGGGAAGGGTAGATTTTGTGTTCTATTAAGTTGTGCATATGATATATATTTAGCGATTATGATATAAAGGTCCAGATTATTTTAACATCCTCCAACGCTAATAATTTATATGTGTAATTCATGTTTTTATGTATATATAATTCGGATTGCAGGTTGCTCAGGTTACTTGATGTCTTTGTCCAAGCCCGGCCCAAATTTAATTTGGGCATTTGGAATTTCTGCCCAAGCTCGCGTTGAATTCAAAAATATGTTGTCTAAGTCCTAAAAATTTTAGGCTGAGCTCGGGTTGGGTCTGGCTGAGTTACACCACTAGTGATTGCAATATGCAACATAGAGTACTAGAGGTGCAATTTGGTGCTTGGAAGAGCATAGTTGGTGGAAGTGGAGAGTTAAAGAGATTAGAGAACGGAAAAAGGATGATGACCTCAATTTTTTGTAAATTGTGGAGAGATGAACCTTTTCCTCATAAATGCAAGAACCAATTACAGACAAGTCAAGACCTTAGGTGTGGCCTAGGGACGTAGTAAAGTAGCCAATATGATGAGGACACTCAAACGGGCCCAACCCGAGCTAAGTTACATCCCATGGTAGCCAGGCAGTCTATATGCCAGATAGAAAAGCATAGTTGGTGCTTGGAAGAGCATAGTTGGTGGAAGTGGAGAGCAAAAGAGATGAGAGAACGGAAAAAGGGTGATGACCTCTATTTTTTGTAAATTGTGGAGAGATGAACCTTTTCCTAATAAATGCAAGAACTAATTACAGACAAGTCAAGACCTTAGGTGTGGCCTAGGGACGTAGTAAAGTAGCCAATATGATGGGGACACCTGTTCAAGCCTCTGTTTTCTTCAGAAGAGATGTTTCCTAAAACATCTACCTTCCTTTTCTTTTTTGCCTCTTTGTATTTGGCATATAGACTGCCTGGCTACCATGGCCACATCATGTCTGTCAGGTCAGGTGTTCAAATGGCATCAGATTTTATTTAAATTTTCACACGTGGTCTACCAAAACACAATCTCCATGTGCCTCTCAGTAGAAGGTATTATAGTATGGCAAGGCATAAGTCTATCTATGTGGCATAATTTTAGATCTAGTACGAACCATTTCTTTTAACAGAGTGGTTACCACATGCCGTTCATGTGTGTGTGTGTGTGTGTGAGAGAGAGAGAGAGAGAGAGAGGCAATTGGCATTGATGACTAAAGGCACAAATTAAAAAGCATTCAATGGACTGATGGATCCTTATTGCACCAAACCTCTTGACGTATCTATAGATGAACTGGTACTTTTTTTTAAAAATATTTTTATATTTGATTGGAAATGTGACATTCTTTGAGTATGGCCATTGTTGGTTGCTTACTCCTATTTCTCCTCCAAACTATATTATCATTTGAATTGTATTCATTGCAAAAGACAAGATGCTCTTCTTCTTTTCTCCCAAATATGTTATGTCCATGCATCCAACTTCCCTACTCTGGCTTCCTTTTCATGTTTGCCCTCCTGCTAAATTAGGATATGTTGCTTTTCATGTTTACCCTCCTGCTAAATTAGGATATATGTATATATTTTTTTTTTGGATCAATCAAAAGAAACCTTTATTGATGAAATAACCAATACAAAGTAAAAAAGCATTACATCAATAAAGAGGGAAGAAGGGGATGGTGCAAATGTCATCATAGCTCAACTTTCTAATCCCAAATAGGTTGGCACCAAAAAGCAAACACAATCACATGACAGCACCACCCCAAGGCTGGTAAGAAGCCAACCGAAAAAAAAAAAAAAAAACTAAAAAACAAAGCAAGGACAATAACAAGCCATCCACACCCAGGCACCTCAAAGGCATAGCCTCACTTGATTCAGATTTTCCACAAACTGATGCACTGAGTAATGGACACTAGGCATAGAAGACTTGACCCACAGCCCAACCCTGACTTTCACTAATTCACCCAGCTCGTTCATATCTGGTTGACCACCATTAAAAATAACATCATTCCTTAGCCTCCAAGTTGACCACAACATTGCTACTGGTACAAGCCTCCAGATTTTCATCACTGATTTTTTATGTTTTGTTCCCAACCACCAAGGCAGCACACCATCCACTGAAGCAGGAGATACCCAGCTTAAATTCCACCACTGCAGCAGACTACCCCAAACCTTCCAAATCTCAGGGCACTGCACAAAGAGGAGATCCACAAACTCTACAGCAGATGAACAAAAAGGGCATACATTTTCAACATTGCTACCTATGACCCCTACTCTCTGCATAAAACCAGTTGTTTTAACCCTTCCTCTCCAGGCCAACCAACTCATGAATTGGGCTTTTGGTGGTGCCACATTATTCCACAACAGCCTAGGAACAAGCAAACTAGGACCATAATTTAGCTCAAACCAATTTCTCACTGATGCCACTGAAAACTCGCCAGAGGATGATGCAGTCCATCTTACTACATCATGCAAATCCTCATTCAGCCTAGGGACATCCCTTGTCAACAGTTGCAGCCTCCTTACCTCCTCTTCCTCCCAGACAAATAATGATCTTCTAAACTGTAGCCTCCAATCACCTGCTCTGTCCCTCTGCATAAAGAAACTCAGCTTTCCTTCTTTTTCCACAGAAAGCCTAAACAATCTGGGAAACTCCTCTTTCAGCTGTAGATCCATAAGCCATCTATTATGCCAAAACTGAACCCTACACCCATCACCAACCGCAATCTTACACTTTAGAAATAAACAACTGAAAAAGCCCCGGATTAGATCTTGCCACACTCAAAATATCACTCTACAAAATAGATTCCTTACCTTTCCCATCCTTCGGTGGTAACCATCTGCCCCTTCAGCCCCATACTTGCTGACAATCACCTTTTTCCACAATGATTTGTCCTCCACCCCATACCTCCACAACCACTTTAGTAACATACATTCATTTGTGTCCTTTGCCCTCCTTATACCTAACCCTCCTTGGTCTTTGCACTGCTGGAAATTAGGTTTTTAGTGGCGTTTAAAAAACGCCGCTATAGCTATAAAAAACGCCGCTAATTGTTTTCGTGACGTTTAATACCAAACGTCGAAGATGCGGCCGTCGCTATAACTTTATGACGCTTTCAAAACGTCGCTATATTTAGTATAGGCGGCGTTTTAAAAAACGCCGCTAAATATGCTGCATAACAGTACAATGACGTCATGCAATATTTAGCGACGTTTTGAAAACGTCGTAGTAGATCTTTTTTATTTTAAAAATGTTACCATTGACATCATCTATAGTGACGTTTTGAAAACGCCGTCATAGCTTCAATTTTTTTTTTTTTTAAATTGTGCTAATTCTATGAAATTTAACGAAAACAAATTACCTGTAATAAAGATGAAAAATATTCAATATATTAACTAAATTTAGGTAAACATAATACTAGATCAATTCATGCTTCTCAATATACAAAAATATTTCAATTTCAATATGAAATAAAGTTAAACTAGTGCCTAGTGATAAGTTGAAAGTTATTACAAAACAAATCAACACAAAAAAAAAAGATCAATCATGTACCCTTTACAGCTCGGCACAAAAAAAATCAAGATATTTAAATTGCATGGATGAATGTCTAGCATAAAAAGAAGGGGGGGGGAATCAACTGTATGCTATACAACATAGTTGCAAGACCAATCATGTACTCTTTACAGCACTGGGAAGCAAGTTGAAGGCTTCATCCTCTTCTTCCAACTTCTTTTCCTGTTGACAAAAAAAAAAATCCCAAGACTTAGTAAGTACTGATGGTGATAAAATAGTATCCAAATTCACATGTTTTGAGTTCCTATGCTGCCTTGAAAAATTCACACTGCAGCTATGATGTGGTCAAATAGCTATACCTCTGGATGATTTGTTATGACATCAATTGGTCCAACAGTTTAAAGTATAAAAATACTGAAGCTCAAATTCTAGCAAAGTTATAGTTTGCTTTTGAATTTGAGCCCTATCAAATTCTCGTCAGATCAATACAGCCAGTGCCTAGCCTTAACACTGAACAGATATTAGGTAGGCATGCCAAACCAGCCATTTAACTAA